TCTTTCGCGGTTGGAACCAGCCCAAATGTCCATCATCAAATGAGTGGATGTGGAAAATGTGGTTTATCTACACAATGGAATACTACTCAGCTATAGAACGAATGAAATACTGCTGTTTGCAACAACATGGATGGACCTTGAGAGAATTATATTAAGTGAAACAAGTCAGGCACAGAAAGAGAAATACCACATGTTCTCACTTATTGGTGGGAGCTAAAAGTAAATAAATGGGGGGGGGCACACACACACACACACACACAAAAAAAAAAAACGGGGGGGGGGAAGAAGACATAACAACTACAATTCCTTGAAGTTGATATGACAAGCAAACAGAAAGGACATTGTTGGGTAGGAGGGAGGAGAGAGAGGAGGGAGGGAGGTTTCGGTAATGGGCTACAATAATCAACCACATTGTAAATCGACAAAATAAAATTAAAAAAAATAATAATAATAAAATTTTTTTTAAATAAATAAATAAAATAAACTAGAAACATCTCTGTAAATTCTGTTTCAAACAAACACCAGTTAATCGTAACAAGAAGTGGAAAAATTCCAACAAAAGTATTCAAATGTAATTAGACTCTAAGAGCAGCACATATGCTTGACCCTTTAGTACTATGAATAATGAAATGTGCATAAGAGATTAACAAAACTGTATAAAGTAGTGAGGATAAAGGCAGAATCTGTTGAGCAGATGGTATTATTTGAACATCATTCAGAGCCAGCAGAAATAGCCAGGACATGGAATAGGACATTTATGGATTCATTTCTTTTGTCATGTGGTATAAAGGAAGAAGGTATTGGTCGTTAGCAACTCCATGTTAAACACTCTACTCCTCTAGACCCCTTTGATGTCCTATTGCTTTGCCCCCCACGGATTTGTCACCCCACTTCCCCTGGGTGATGGAGCCACAAAGGTTACTCAAAGCCCATCTCTTCTGAGCAGTGAGAAGCCCTGAAGTGGTTAACTTCCCTGAAACCCTCAAGCAAGAGACATACCTTTCACTTAGGAAATTAACCCCAAATTGGGGTTTTCTTCCTGCATTTATTCTTCGGACCAGGAAGTCACAGGAAGAGACATAGGTGGGGTTAGTTTAACAATATAGCTGGTAACTCTCAATGAAACAAGTCAGATGACATTCCAGTAAGGCAATTAAGTGATCCACCAACAAAAGCTTGGTCTTAGCAAACATTCCCTTAGCAAACATTCCCTTCCTACAGCAATTTCTTAGTATCTTTACATATCAATCAGTAACTTGTCTGTCTTTGAACCAGCAGCCTTACTTCATTACAAATCTTTATCTTACACCAGAGGCTTTATAGAATGAGGAAAATTTTCTGTCCTCCACAAGATAAATATTTGAAACTGCAAGGCTTTGGAAAACCAGGCCCTATGAGGTACATTTGCTTTATGAATCCTCTACAATGTCCTAAATTCTGTCCCTCATGGAATTTGCAAGCTTTCTATTGTTTCCTTTAAATGTTGAGGTCAGTTTGGTATGTGAGCTGTGCATCCTTCTAAGACCTGATTAAATGATCTACTCATTCTTTCTTTCCTGATGTCCTAATACTCAGATGGAAATAATCTTTCCCTTATCTAAATTCTTGTAGCATTATATCCATGAATCTCTCAATACCTTTCACTATCAAACTCAAGAGATCTATGTAAAAATGTTTGTAACCAGAATTCCACTGGCCCTCATCATCTTTGTTAGGAATGACACGTGACAAACTGAATTAATTCAGACTTAGTTGGCTTGTCACCCCATCCTGACCACTGTTGGGCCTCAGCTTTCTCCACAAAAAAACCCAAAATACTTTTGGAATCCTTAGCTCTGAGTCCATGTGGTGCCAAAGAGGAATGACTATAGCAAACAAGCAACAGTGACTTTATTGTTTTTATCACACAGTATAAAAAGGGCAGGCATAATATAATCACATAGTTCCCCAAAGTATTTCAAAATTTAGTAAAAATTGTTGCTCTAGTTTTTACTGACACTGACTTCACTCTCACAGCCTCAGATAAGAATGCTAAGTACTAATTCAGACAATCCTGATTCACAACGGTTCAGCTGAAGATGTTTTGAATTCACCATGGTGCTAAACCTATAAACATTCAGCAGAAACCTTACTTGAAGTAGCCATACAACCATTCTGTTTTCACTTTCACAACAGTAATGAATTACATGAGATATTCAATACTTTATTATAAATTAGGCATTGCGTTCAATGATTTTGCCAACTGTGGGATAATGTAAGTGCTGTGAGCACAGTCAAGGGAGGCTGAGCTGAGCTATGATGTTTGGCAGGCTGAGTGTATTAAATGCATTTTTGACTTATGATTTCTTCAACTTACAGTGGGTTTGTCTGGACATAATTGTAATTCAAGTAGCATCTGTACTTACTGACAACCTACTGTCTCACCATGTGCCACTCAGTGCTCTAAATTCTTTCCATGAGTTACCTTGTTTACTCTAAACCCACATCCTTTCAGGGAGGCGCTACTGTGTTCCCTCCCTGCCTGCTTTTATAAATGGAGACACTGAGTGTCAGAAAGGTGAATCGCCTTACCTCAGTGCATGTTCTTCTAAAGTGCCAGTGTCAGGATTGAGCCCAGGTGGTCTGGCTTCTGAGCCTGCAGCTCTCAGTCCTGGAAGGAAAGAAGGAGAGGGTGGAACACGGGGCGGATTGGAGTGTCACCCACTGTACTCTGCTCAGAATCCCCCTGCTGAGGAAGCTCATGTTACTAGGTTTATCTCCATGGTCAGTCTTCTTTTAGTAGGTATTATCTTATGTAGAAAATAAAGGAATCACTAACAACAGGCCATCTTTTATTCAGATCTTCAAAATTTGTGACTCGTTTCGACTCAAATAAGAATCTTCCTAAATCAGAGGTGGGCGAAAAAATTTTGTAAATTGTCACCTAGTAAATATTCTATGATTTACAGGCCATAGAGTCATTGTGAAAATTACTCTGTTCTGTAGTTTCAGAGTACATGTAGCCAGAGACAATCTGCAAAAGCAGGGTTTGAGGTGGAGTGAGGTGCAAATGCCCGGGCACAACATGGAAAGCAGCAGTCATTTCCAGGGTCATTCAAGTGCAGGATCCTGAAAGTAAATACCTTCTTAATTTTGTGCCTTGGGAGCCTTCCTTGCCCCATTCTAGTCCATTTCCTGAGTATACAGATTCCAATAAAACAGCTGTATTCCAAAAAAGCAGTTATTAAGGAACAAGTTTTAGGTTTCATGGACCAGGTTTTAGATTTCATGGTACATAGTGTGATCCATGGTTTCCACTGTGAACACATTGTGAGGAAGGGGACAGGCGAAGTAGTCAGGTGAAATTTTAGGTTTATTTCCTGGCTGATTTTACGTTGGAAGGGTTGCTGTACTACTCAGTCTATCCCACGTAAAACTCTCTCCAAATAGAGTCACATTTGGATCAATATATTTATCTTTTTAAAAAAGCAAAACACCCCCTCTACCCAACAATCTAGGACAGTGGTAGCCAAAGTCTTGACACTATGCCCCAGGAGTAAAAACCTTTGGGCATATGCCACCCAATATGCACATCTACGTAGATATGTGTGTATATGGGTAAATATAATAATTATATACACGTATTACTATGGCAATACATATGTTTTAAAACACTAAAAATAAGCACTTAAAAATGTCTCCAAGATACATTTTAAATACTCAGCACGTGGGACCGTGTATCATGTCAAGCATTTCTTCTCTGCAGCTACTTTTCTAGAGTCAGACAGTTCACTCTGTTTTGTGTAAGTGGCTTTCATTGCACAACATCAGCATCTGCTGAAGACTAAATCCTGGGGCTTTTATGTGAAGCCTGAAGGGGGGTAGAAGGAAGAGATTTTTACATGAATGGACAGGTCTGGTCGGAGCCTTCACAACAGGTGTTCCAGGCACACTGTGCAGATGGCTGCTGCTGAAAATGCATTTTATCTGCTGAGGCCAGAGTGACACACGGGATGACACAAGTGTCTCAAAAAGTTCAATCATCGGGCCGGCCCGGCGGCGCACTGGAGAGTGTGCCGCTTGGGAGTGCGTCGGCGCTCCTGCCGAGGGTTCAGATCCCATGTGGAGACTGGTTCTTGCTCACTGGCTGAGCGCGGTGCGGGTGCGGCTATGAATGGACAGGTCTGGTCGGAGCCTTCACAACAGGTGTTCCAGGCACACTGTGCAGATGGCTGCTGCTGAAAATGCATTTTATCTGCTGAGGCCAGAGTGACACACGGGATGACACAAGTGTCTCAAAAAGTTCAATCATCGGGCCGGCCCGGCGGCGCACTGGAGAGTGTGCCGCTTGGGAGTGCGTCGGCGCTCCCGCCGAGGGTTCAGATCCCATGTGGAGACTGGTTCTTGCTCACTGGCTGAGCGCGGTGCGGGCGCGGCTAGGAGGGTTGCGATCCTGTTGCCGGGCCCCAGTGCAGGCGCGACACCGAGGGTTGCGATCCTGTTACTGGTCAGTAAAAAAGACAAAAAGGAAAATTAAAAAAAAAAAAAAAGTTAAACCTCCCAAAAAGGGCGGTTTTCTTTTTCCTTTTTTTTTTTTTTTTTTTTTTGAGATTATCAGTACTACTTTTTTGTTGTTAAAATGGAAACATGATGTTTGTTGTTTTTCAATAATTAATTGCTTGACAGAACTAAAACTGGGCTGTCCTCAGTCATTTTCTAATATGTGGAGGAATTTCGTTTTGTTTAGAAGACAACCTGAGGGCTCCGGGTTTGCAGATGCCTGGAGGGGAGGCCCTGAGATTGGGACACCAATGATCAGCTTCTGCCCTCCTGCCAGGGCTCCGGTCTGGGGACTCTGTTCACTTGATTTCCTTCACAGAAAAAGGGAAAGATGGGAAGCCATATAGACTCATCTTCTCAGGGCTCTTTCAAAAGAATATCCGAGTGCATTGTTAGTGAAGTAACCTTTGTCTCTCAGGCTCTGTCTGCAGGGACTTCTAGGCAGTCATCTGTAATTATTTGTCATTTGCTTGTTGGCTGTTTGCATGTGTAAACCCTATGTTAACTGCATTTCAAATGTTTTCATTTAACAGGCTCCTGACGTGCTCCAGACTCCAGTGAACGACACAGCCCAAGGGACGAGCACATGGCCCGTCACTCTTTCAAGTTCAGGGAATTTGCTTGGAAAAAAGTTTCAGGTAACTAAATCAGCACAAAAACCCTCTGATACGCACATCAGAGAGTTTTGGTGGGTTTACTCTTTCACCAGAACCGTTTTCAGATAAGGACATACAGATGGTATCGTTGCTGCAAAAGCAACATCACACTGTTCTTCTACAGCAAATGTTCCTAATAAAGTCCCGTTTCTGCCTTCTGAGTTCTGTCGTTTTCAGGGGCGATTTCTGCCTGCAGCTGAGCTAACCTGGGCGTTCACTGACTTGCACAGAAGGACAGACTCAGTGAGTAGGTGTCACTGCTCTGTGTCCACCTCTGCTTCCTTTACTGGAGGCAAAGACGATGTCACAGCAGGAAAGCGCTCTTGTCTCTTATCTTGCCAAGGCTGCAGCTCGCCTCGGACGAGTCGGCCCGCGGGGCCCCCTGTCGAGCCGGGGCTGTCACTTCTCCCCCGAAATCCACAGCAGCAGGAGCCGGCGACGCGTCCGCTTGTGTCCGCCCCGCGCCACCCACGGGGGACGCCGCCTGTCCCAATCCTGGCGCTGAGGACACTCGTGAGGGCGACGTACGAGGAGAACGTCCCTCCTGGTTCTGGGGTGACGGTCACCAGAGGCGCGCACGGTCATGGGTTTTCACGCCTGGAACCGTCGCCCGCTCGCTTCTTCTTCTTCTCTCCTTTCTGCTCCAATTGCACGTTCGTGACGCTGCTTTAAAGGTGTGTTTCCCGAGCTGCCCTCTGGAATGACCGAGCCAGGTGTTGCTTTCGCTGATAAAGACGCACATTGTCACTTTCCCCCACTGACTGGCTCAAGGATACTATTAATTTATTATCATTATTTAATTGATAGTAACCCACAACGCAAAAAAAAAAAAAAAAAAATCGTCTGTGTCGGTTTCCACGTCTCTCGTGGCACGTCGGGCGCATCTTTCCCCACCTGTCGCCGTGACTATGAGCTTCCTGTGGCTGCTCTAACAAATGACCACGAACTCAGAGGCTCAGACGACATAACCCTGTTGTCTCACAGTCCCAGGGGCCCAGGGGTCTGAAGGGTGGGTCTCTGGGCTAAACTTCAGGGAGCCCCTGGGCTGCGTCCCCCTCGGGAGCTCTGGGAGAGAATCCTTTTCCTCGCCTTCCAGCGTCTAGAATTGCCCGCAGTCCTTGGCTCCTGGTCACCATCCAACTCTAACGGCAGCGATGACAGCCAGGTCCAGTCCTTCCCATACCACACCTCGGTGACTTTCTCTCCTGCTCCACCCCCAGGTTAATCAGTTATTATCTCCAATGTCGAGGTCAGCTGGCCAGAACCTTAATTCCAGCTTCATCCCTGACTCCACCCTGGTAGGTACCACAGCGTGCTCACAAGGTCTGGAGATCAGGAGATGCACATGGGGTTCGGGGTCACTCGACCTACAATAGCATCAGCATCAATTATATTTCCTCCACTTATATTCTCCATTCACGGAGATGCACATGGGGTTCGGGGTCACTCGACCTACAATAGCATCAGCATCAATTATATTTCTTCCACTTATATTCTCCATTCACAATTTTCTACTGTTATTTTTATCTTTTTTCTTGCTTAGGTTTTTCTTAAGAAAATTAATGTTTCTGTGTACTGCGATTTGATCTTCTAATTGTCATTTGTCCCCAGCTTAATAAACGGTTCCTTAAAATTTATTCTAGTTAAATACTGTTGTGTCCTTCTCAGGAAAGACTTGCGATTCTATACCTGCACTGGCAGGGCTGGCATCGGTCTCTGAAACTTCTACCCAGCATTTACAGGGGCGCTAAAAGGGCGTGAAATAGGGAACCCATAGTTAGATTTTGTATGTTGATTTTGTATCCTGCACCTTTACTGAAATAGCTTATCAGCTCTAAGAGTTTCTTGGCAGAGTTTTTAGGTTTTTCTATGTAAAGCATCATGTCATCTGTAAACAGGGATAATCTGACTTCGTCTTTTCCAATCTGGATGCCCTTTCTTTCTTTCTCTTGCCTGATTGCTCTGGCTAGTACTCACAATACTATGGTAAGTAAGAGTGGTGAGGGTGGGCATCTCATCTAAGTCAACATGCAAAAATCAGGAACTTTTTAAAACTCCAACAATGAACCAAAAGAAAAATAAATCAAGAAAGGAAGCTCCTTTACAATAGTCACAAAAAAAGAAAAAGAAAAGAAAAGAAAAAGACAAACCTAAGTATCAATTTAACCAAGGAGGTGAAAGATCTCTCCAATGAGATCTACAAATCATTGCTGAAAGAAATGAAGAGGACACAGAAAGATGGAAAGACATTTCATGCTCTTGGAAGAACCAACATTGTGAAAAATGTCCATTCTACCCAAAGCAATCTACAGATTCAACAGAATCTGCATCTAAATACCAATGACATTCTTCACAGAAATAGAAAAAATAATCTGGTATTGGCATTAAAAATAAGACACTCAGACCAATGGAACAGAATAGATAACCCAGAAATCCACCACCTGCATACTTATAG